GTTCATCTATACATGCACCCTAAATTCATGAGTTTTGTGGATTTAATTTAGGTAAATTTCAACTGATGCTTACAATTTTGCAAAAGTAAAAAATTTTCACATTTTTTTACTAAAAAATAAACCGATTACCACCTATATCTTTTTCTAATTGCAACAGATCAATTATTTATTAAAAAAAAGATTGCATAGAAATAGAGTTAATTTAGGTAAAATTCGGCATGACAATTTTGTAAAAGTAAAAATTCTCTCATTTTTCATCAAAAAAATCTCTTTACCATAACATCAGAAATTTCGAATTAGGCAAATTCTATAACATGTATGTTTAGCTAATTGCAATAGATCATGTTTATTAAAGAAACAGATTGCATAGAAATCTTGTCTATTTTTAAATTAAAAATTTAAATTTAAAAATTTCTTATCATTTGGCTACTACTTTCTTTAGTTTATATTTTTTAAATATAAAACATAGTCACATAATATTAATTTGAAATTCAAAATGAAATCAGGTTGGAACATCTAAAAATTTTAGTTTTGTTTAATCCTCTAGAATACAAATTTGAAATTGATTGCATACATTTATACAATCTTTCTCTTACTTAAATTAAGTAATTTTCAATTTTAAAATAATAAGGTTATAAATTATCAAGAAAGACGTTTTATCTGCGTTATATTATATTTTACCGTGTAATCTTCATAAAAGCATTATAAATTATATCATAAATATCCTGTTAAATAATTTAATTGATTTATTTAAGTCTATTTAAAATCCTAATATAATTTGTGGTTATAAATGATGTACCAAAAGATCAAACAAATAATGTTGTGATATATTTAATAAACTTTGTTTTATTTCATCTCATCATTCAAATGCAGTTGAAGATGACTAAAAATATTTGACTTTTGACCATATTCTAATTTTTCAATCTTCGCCGACCGACTATGGCGCAACAGCGAGCAGCCAAGTTGGAAAATCCAAAGCTTTGACCCGCCATATATATATAATATATACGCACATCTGATCTATCCACAACACTCCATTCTCTTTTCCTTTAATCCTATTTCACGGTTGTAAATAGTGAAGAGCAATGGGATTGTTCACCTACACGGTGGCTGGCGCCGCCGTAACTGCAATCGGCGCGTGGGAGTCACTCTACCCTGCCCCCGATCCCCCAGGCCCAAACGCTACGCCGTCGTCCCCATCGCTGGCCTCTCCGCCGCCGGAAAATGGCAAAAAAGCCGCTTCGACGGCGTCTTTCTCGTCGACGGTGATACTCTTATCGATTTCGGTTCTCTCCGTCCTCTTCATCCTGAACTCCTTCATCTCCCTACACGATGCCGTGGGCTCCCGCGACACCGTCGGCTTCGCAATCCAGCTCCAGGTAATCGCGGTTGCGTCGCTCTTTCTCCTCTACTCCGTGTTGGGCGTTCTCGTCTCCATATCAGACTCCTTCCGATTTCCTCTCCAATTGCTCAACCTGATCTACGCGTTCGCATTCGGCGAGGAGTTCCTGTTGTTCTACTCGCAGAACAAGGATCCAAGCGGGATCGAGAACCGCTACTACGACCTCATCCTGGTCCCCGTATCCATATGCCTCTTTTCGACTCTCCTTGAGCTAAAAAACCCTAAGTCGACTTACCCGAGGCTGGGCCGCGGGCTGGGGATGGCCCTACAGGGCGTGTGGACCCTGCAGATGGGCTTCTCCTTTTACTCCAATTTGATAGCCAACGGGTGTTCCTTGCACCAGAGGAGCAGGGGCAATTTTACCATCAAGTGCCAGGGGCACCCCGAGTACCACCGTGGGCGTGCAATTGCCACATTGCAGTTCAACTGTTATTTGGCTCTATTTGTGACGTTGGCTGTAGGTTTATACTCGGTGCTTTATAAGAAGTACGGCGCCGGGCGGGATTTTATGCCGTATAAGCCAATTGGGGTTCAGATGGACGGGCAATCTCAATTCACTTTGGATAGTGATGATGAGGACGATCAGGATGTGGTGAAGGATGGCAGGAGTTTGGAGATGCAGAGTGTTATTCACGAGCCAACGGTTAATGGTTATGGTTCACACGCCTGAGGTAATTAGAGAATATTGTTTTATGTGAGTTGGGAAGTTTGATTGTGTGTTGTAGAATTTGGTTCTTGCTTTTAACATGTAGTAGTGAAAAACATTTGTTATCTCCTTCATGCGTTTGGATTGTTACTAACTATTTTGGATAGGGGTGGAGCTTTTATAGGTGGGTGAGTTTCAAATTGTTCTATCGATAGAGCTTAGGTTTCTCTATCACCTGTCGAAAGTTGTACGCTTTCGGCACGGCGAAGCTGCAATATTGTAATATGGCATTTGTTTGTGAGATAATGCAATGTAGAAACCGATATACAAACAAATGGTTTTGGTTGCTGTGTTGAATTTTGTTTGGAAGTAATTCATTGACTGTTGCATATTGAATGATGGTGTTTTATTGTTTTCTTATGATGGACATTTGCCTGGTAATCATATATTGACACTATATAATACCTAGGTGGAATGTAAGGTATGAAACAGAGTGACCAATTCGATGACTGACAAGATTGTGGGAAAAAGATTGGTTTCTGATGATATGTAAATATTTACTTGGTGTTCTTTCCTCATATTTGTATCTCGATCACATATAAAACACATAATATATGTTCTCTAATTTTTGTAGATATCGAAGGATGTGAAAATATAGCAGATTATCTTTCACACCTTCCACGATTAAACAAACTTTTGCTAGATTCGCTGCTGATTCTTGGCTATGGTGAAATGAAAATTCACCTGAAAGCATTGGGTTTTTCCTTCACAATCCTTACATCTGTTAAATGGGCACAACTTTGCTTCTTGTTATTTTCAAGTACACAAGAGTTTTCAGACCTAGACATTGATATGCATTTCTGTGGTTATTCCATTCTAAGTACACTAATCTATTCACCTGCCATTGATTTCCAACTTTCTTGTTTATCTCTGTGCTCATCATGCTCAAGCAAATTTTCTTTGATTATACTGTGGATTAAGCTTGTGAGTCAGGGCTGTTACTGAAGTACACTTGCTGACTACACAACAGGCAGTTATGGCACGGTTGGTTATCTTTCTATGTTGGTTCGTTTTTTTCTTTACTGCTTGGTAACATGATTATAAAGAACGATACTGAAAGAAGAATTTAATCTAGACTGTGTTTTGGTGTGAGATGTAAATGTGATGGTGAAACTGGATCATGCATTTACATAGAACAGTAATCACCAAATGTCTGGTTAATGTGTAATGAAATTGGTGACAAAACTTTCATAGATGAGTGGATGAATATGGTTTGTGCGAGAGAAATGGAATCTGTTTCTTGATTCGTTAGCATTAGTAGGATGAAAAATTTGGATAACCGGTAGTTTCTGTATCCCTGTAGTTGTGCTATCTGTTCACATTGATCATTGATGCTTGCTGGTAGCTAGTCCAACAGTGTTTGCTTGTTATGTCAACTTGTTTAGACGGTCAGGCCAAGCTTCTGCTAAAAAATTATCAATTGGTATATTGTGAACTACAATTTATATTGGCCTACGTTATCAATATTACACATCACATTAAAATGGATCTTTACCGGTACATCACATTACTATTGATGTGATTTATAAGTATGAAGATGCTATTAGAAGTGGTAGGTAGTTAAATTATGCATGTAGATGTATATTGAATTAAAGTTGTTGTATTGTGTGAGGACGACTAATTGATACTCCTTCCTATTTTTTTTTAAATGTCATTCTATCTTTATCAACTATTAACTAAATAAATGTCGTTTTGGACATTTTGTACATATTTTTCCATTATTACCCTCATTTAACTAATAAATACATTACGTCTTTTCATATTCACTCTTCACTTTTTCTCAAAACATTAATCTCTATCTTCATTAAATAAGGCTACTATTGATAAAAAAAAAATTTTTAATTAATATGCAACTTCTCAAAATGACAAATATTGATAATATTAAAGAGAGTGCTGACTTTTTTGAGTTAGAATATCGGAAATAAAGTAACACAATCAGTCACAACTGATTTTTTTCATATCCAAACGTACACTATATAGCTACATATTGTATGTACTAATATCGTTAAATCATAATTGAAACACTAAATAAAACGTGTTATCATATATCAAGTTTGAAGTTGCATATTATCCATTTCCATATAACGTTAAAACATAAAATGAAACATTTGATAAAACTAACTTTGTCATATATGAAATTTGAAGTTGCACAATATCTCGTTTCTGCACCGAAGTAGGGAAAATACCTAGCCGAAGTTATTGGAGAAATTTACAGACCTTACGGTCTAAATAAAACTTTCCTACACTGACACGAAACTGAGTTTTTATTTTTAGAACTACGATTAATATGTAAAAGCATGAAACTAACTAAAATAAAGACGAAAAGGAAAGTCATTTTCAGACTATATTTTGTGACGAAATAATTACGGCAATTTGCGTATAATATTAATGCAGCAGATTTCACGGAAATTATATAAATCTTAATCAACCTTATCCATTCAATTGCAATATCATTGTGCCAACTCATTTTTACATCTCTTTCCCCTCCCTCCCTCCATCCCTATCGTTCTTTATTGTTCTTCTTTTGTTTTTTTTTCTTTTCTGCATCATCAAGTTCTTCTTCTTCTTTATTTCTGCAACATTAAACTCGTAAATAGAAAAAGACTGTTCTGCTAAAGTACTTTTCTATTTTTTGAAATAAGATTATTATATGAAATAAAAGA